TAGAAACACAACAGAGTAAAGGATCTTTGAATTTAATACTCGTATAGAGAAATTATAAAACTTTGATTCCTGCTTCACTCGCAGTGAAAATTCTATTCTGAATTTCAGATGCATATCTTTTTAGGAGTATATCAAAGACAACTTTGATTGTAAGGTCTTTATATATATATAAATTTTGGATGTAAATAATATAAATACATGATGATGATATTCAGATGTCTGAGTTGGTGAATCAGCACTTTTACTCTATTTTATCTGTGGACAGTTTTAAGTCACACTAAGAATAACTGAATACGGGGTTTTACAATATGATGGATCTGATGTCTTTGTATCTGCCTGTGTTTATCAAATTTCGCTGTATTTTTAGGATGCTGAGTGTTGGATTATTTTAACTGTCAATTATATTGAACAGTTTCAGAGCACGATCTTTAATGTGTTTTTCGACTGAATCGACTCTCAGATCTCTGTGGATATCCGCTCCTGTTACGTACCATGTATATAATAATAATATAATATACATATATATATATATATGTGTTATATATTTATATATTTGTAAATTCTAGTTTTCTGTGCAATTAATTAAGCCTGTTCAGTTGTGAGCAATATCTTACTTCAAGGTTTGACTATTTTGTATAAATATTGTAATGATTGATCGCTAAGGAAGTTCTTGACCCCTTTTTTCATTTCAGTACATCTCAATAGTCCCCTCGGACTTAGATTACTTATATGATAGTCAACTTCTTATAACATATCTTAGAATTTCTTAAAAATCTACAGTGTCCTTTACATAACCATTTTTTTTTTGCTAATTCGATTTATTATATGTCTATTTTAAATGGTCCAAATAAAAAATTATATAAGGTGACTACACGCTTATATTAGTTTTATAAATAAATATAATATTCTTTATATAGATCAACTGTATTTAAAATAATATAAATAAATTTATGAAATAATTTGCTTTACTCAACAACATTAACTTAAAATTTAAAAAAAATAACAGAATTTTAATGGAATTCGCAACCCAATATATGGTACTTCACCCGGTAGCGAAACATTTGCTAATAACTAGTGTTGCTTATGAACACACATGTAGAGACAACTGAACACCTTGCAATCCTCCTACGTGTATCACCCGAACGAGGCCGGTGCACTGATAACTCATACGTTAGTTGGTTGAGTTAGAAATCCGTTTGACAAATTACCTTGCACAGACAATGCTAATAACGTGCGGATGCAAACGTTTCCTAGGTAACTGCAACCATTAGAATTATGAGGATTGCATAGATTTAATGATCTAAGTGCAGTGCTTAATTTGTTACACAATAACAAAAATACACTAAACACTTGGCAAGAGGCAACTAAGTGATTTGTCTTGCTAAAACAGCTTTTGCAAGCATACATAGGATATATACTAACAACACTTATGCATTTGGGTGCATATAAAGATGCATTTGGTAATTTGACGATGTGTCTGTATATACAAAACATTTTTTTTTTTTCAACTTTCAACTATGATGTTTTGTTTTATTTCTATTTTTAACATGTTAGAAATTACTTTTTCAGAGTGACATTTAAAATAATTTAACACTAGTTTTAGTAAAGACATTGCATTAAGAGCTTAACTATGTAATGCATAAAAATAGATATGTAGGTATCTAAAAATGTGCATACAAACAGTTGCACATTCGTGTGGAGTAAGTAATATTATACACAAACAAGCACGCACCTATTCATGCGAACACTAATACTTAAAAAATTTACTTTATAAAACTTTAATACCGTCAGGTGTTCGGAGTTTAACACTTTATTATTCCTAAAATCATGGTTAATGCATTAAAAATGTCTGCACTCTGCTTACGTGACAATGGTAAAGGGAGATGGCACGGCAGGCGTGCAAAGACTTCACCATGGTGTTACCAGTAGGAGACATTTCAAAAGTCGTGCACATAATATCTTTGCTGCATCAGCATCAGCATCACCATCAGCAACAGAATCAACGTCAGCGTTAGCAGCAGCATCAGCTTCAGGAACGGTAACAGCAAATTTATTGAGTTAAATATACACGTGTGGGTGCACTCGTCTAAAGAGGACATATTTTTAACAAATTTACAAGTTCTGCATATAGTTAGTACTATGAGTGAGAGACTAAGCAGTGCGCGTTCTAAAAGATTTAAAAAGATTGGCTGCATAAATTTTTCGTTTAGATTAGATTAAAGTTTTACCAACGAATTTTATACTTTACAAACTGAATTGATGTAAGCACAAATTTAAACTGATTTATTAACAGAGCACAGTATAACAAAACAAGTTTAACTAACGTAGAGGCAGTGATTCTATGTAATAGGATTTGTTGAGTTTAAAAGACTTTATTAGACTAAAGAATAAATACAAAGTGTAATAGTTACAATAGTTGAACTATAAAATAAAAAGGGTTGCCAATGTAATTAAAATAAACATTACATTTTTCAATACTCCCACTTTTTAGTTACATTAGGATACTAGAGAGATGTTTTAAACCAATCTGATTTCTAAAAAGTACAAATTTTTCTTTCGGAAGTGCTTTAGTAAGCCCATCTGCAAGCTGATCACCAGATGCCACATATTTTAATTCGAAAGCCTTTTCATTGTATGCATTTCTAATGAAATGATAACGTACATCAATGTGTTTTGTCCTTTTGTGAAATTCAGGATTTTTTACTAGACGAATTGCATTTTGGTTATCAATACAGAACTCTATCTGTCCAGGATTCCCAAGATCAGACCAAAAACGCTTGACCCAAATTAATTCCTTTGCTGCGCTAGCTGCTGCAATATATTCTGCTTCAGTTGTTGATAAAGAAACGCACTTCTGACGCTCAGAACACCAGCTTATTATACCTTTATCTACCATAAAAAGGAAACCTGAGGTAGATCTTCGAGTTTGCACATCACCTGCATAGTCAGCATCACTGTAACCACGCAGATTAAGTTTGCTGTTACTCTGGTAGCAGATTCCTATGCCAATAGTGCCATTTAAATATTTGATTATCCTTTTGACTGCATTAATGTGCGCTGTTGCTGGCTTCTCAAGATATCGACTTACGTTAGATACAGCAAAAGCTATATCTGGTCTTGTTGCTACTGCTAAATACATAAGACTGCCAACCGCTTCCCTATATGGAAAATTGACTTCTGCATCAGATATAAAATTACTCAAA